AAAGGGTATCCATTCAACAATGTCTTTAACCATATTTGCATTAAGTTGTATTTGTTGAATTAATCGATCAATGTCGTGATTGTCACTCGTCCAATTACAAAATTCTTCTTCAAACCTTAATAAAAAAATAACAAATATGATAACAATTAAGAGTTAAGACTATCGAAATTTCCGATTTGCTGTAAAAAATTCGGTTATTGTGCACTTCGTGGACAATGATTATGGTATGATTCTCCGAAAGTTACCTCCCCGCCAACTCATTCCCCGACACCACAGTGTCGACATGCTATTTCATTTACAGCTCACTTTTTCGATAAAATAAATGTTCGACATTACATTTATTCAACAATCCTTTTCTTAGACAAGGCATTCCCCGACAATTATTTCTCCGACATATAATTTTAACCAACATTAGCTCTAAATCAGGCCAACTCTAATGCTAGATCGGGCCAATTTTATGTCGAGGAAATGATTGTCGGGGAAATGTCTTGTCTAAGAAAAGGATTGTGAAAAAATGTAATGTCGAATATATAACTAATCGAATAAATGCGCTTTATATGAAATAGTATATCAGCATTATGGTGTCGGGGAAACGAGTTGGCGGGAAGTAACTTTCGGGGAAATTGAGCAACAAACCGAAACTTTATCTACTAGTGTAACCATGCTATCCCTTTTTGTATCTCTTTAAAGTATATATTTGATATTACGTTATTCGTTTTGTCTTACCTATCATTGTACTTTTGTTCAAAGATGACTCAAGAAACTGAAAGCTTGATAATTAAAACTGATACCACAAATAAAAATCCTCAAACTCTCGTCGAAGATTGCCTCTATCTTGCTTTTAGACTATTCACAACCAACAAAGATTTGTATTCTTGCGTTTTGGTCAATAAATCTTGGGCTACTATTGCTATACCAATTTTATGGGAAGCTCCTTTTCGAAATGATTACAGCTTTGTTCCATCTCCAAAAGTTATTGATGTCTATAAAGCATTTTTACCTGACAATGAACAAAGAATTAATCTTCCTTCGCATAGGATTCCTTTTGATTATCCTTCATATCTCAAAGAACTCCCCTTTGACCGCTTCTGTAATGCTGTTGGTAATATTGATATTCGCAAACCCATAGATCATGAACTTATAAAAAGGTTACTTAAAATGTTTGCTTCCCATGGTGCAATTTTACGAAAATTTGATATCTGTAGTTCTCTGGCTAATCAGGCAATTCTAAATGAAAATTGGATAGCACTTCCTAGTAATCCCGAATTCTCTTCAATGTTTGGTAACAATTTAGCATATTTCAGTTGTGGTATTCAACGGTCAGATAAAAAGGTCGAACTCTTTAATGCATTAGCTTTAAATTGCCACAACATTAAACATCTTAAGGTTAAAGTTTGGCGTGAAGATGAAGGAATAGCATTGGCAAATCTCATTCGTGTTCAAAAGCAATTAGTTAAATTTTCTTTATTGAACAGTAATTTTTACGCATCAATTGTTGTTCAAGCTTTAATATATCATACAAAATCTCTCAATTCTATATCGTTTAAACATATGA